TAAAGTAAGTGGAGCTTTGTTGGTATTACTTGATTATTTATATCGTCTTATTATTTTTTTTGTTGTTCTTTTGTTTTTTAGGCTTCTGATTCTTGTTGGTAAATAATTTCATTGATCTTTCTTTCTGTCTTTATGTCTTCTCTCAAGTCAGGACCATGCCATATTTAGCTTTTTTGCTAAGTTTGTGGAGCCCGAGTTGACGCCGGGTAACGAGAATGCAGGGCAGCCGCCTCCGGCCGCCGGCCAGCCTGCTCCGGCCGCCGGGCAGGCTGCTCCAGCCAGGCAGCCTGCTCGGCGCAGAGTTTATGTCTCCAACATCCCATTCAATATGAACGACTATCAATTGCAAGCATTTTGTTTTCAATATGGGGAGATTCAAGATTGTGTGGTCAAGTGCAAAGCATGGGGAGAACTGTAAGTTTGTGTGGTTACTTTGTGTGTATGTCAAAGTTGGTTCTGTGACTTGAAGCTTGTGACTGTATTCTTCTCATTCGTTTTGGTTCTTGTTCTATTCGTTTCATCCAATGCAGTTTATTAGGAGAGAAGGGTTTACGTTTAAAATGCCATTGCCCATTTTTGTCTCTTCCCTTGTCTTATTTGCAGAGGTTATGGTTTTGTCACATATCTGATGCCGCAAGGGGCAGAAAATGCTATGCATTAGAGTGAGTCATGTGTTTCTCTCGTTTTTCTTTCTTCACTCTATGTTTAACGGGTAGTTATGCATCATCTGAACATTGTGCCTTTCGTGCTTGCTTCCTGCTCCGCCATGCCATTATGCGTGGTTCTATGTTACAGGATCGTTTCGTGCATGCGAAGTGTGCAGATGAGAAAGTTCGTTCTCCCCGACCTGAACCACTACAGCAACAACAACTGCACTGACAGCCACGGCCACATTCACAGCCGCAATCACAGGCACAGCCAGAGCCCCAATCACAGGTTCAGGAATTGGTAGAGGGACAGCAGGTAGAGGCACAGGCACAGTAGGCAGAGGCACAGGCACAGTAGGCAGAGGCACAGGCACAGCAGGTAGAGGCACAGCCATAAGGACAGGTCCCTCCCAAGAAATACGGCAGTGAATCTTGCACAAGGCTGAGGCCGTTACCATGGGGTGGGACTGAGGCCACAGCAACAGCATTTCCTTGTATTGCTGTGTAGCTGAGAATGTTTTCTGGGGCATGTTATAAGAATCAGATATATCATGTCATGTGTTTCTGATTGGCTGAACTTGGAGCATCCTTGTTGGTATAGGTTGAAGTCTTTTGCATATACTGGTAGATCTATTTTTCTAGAGCAGGGTACCTAAACCACCATGACTGCCGTCCTGGATGTAAGACCTGGTAGTGTGTCTGGCACAATGCCTATAAGTATCACAGAAATAAATGAAGTCAACAGGATAGATATGGAGAGCTGCCATACTAGGTTCGCATGGTTTAATGCATACCATTATATCTAGGCATGGGTTACCAACACAAGTTCTTGGTCTAGCACCGTATAGAAGCTTTAACCAAGGAAAGTCGAGCCGGCAACATACTAGAAGGAATTTCTATTATAACTGCTTCAGCTGTATTATCTGGATTCATGCTACAGTAGTTCAGCAGCTTGTTATGTAAAAAAAAGATATTGCTGCAAAATGTGTCAACAGGAGTTGTGTGTTGGCCCCGTCCTCGCTTGGGCGGAGCCGACTTCGTGGTCGGGTGTGAGGGGTGCAACCGACCTGCAGCAGTGGGTCAGCTGGTCGACGAGGAAGTCGACCTGCACGGGTGCCACTGCATGGGCGCCGACTTCAGGATGGCGTCGACTTCAGGGAGGTCGATCTGGGAAGTCGACCTGTGGAGGGCGTCGACTTGGTGACGCCAACTTGGGGCAGCCGACTTGGGTGGTCGGCTGACAGGACTGCTGGTCGACCTGGTGGTTGGTCGACCAAGCTCGACGTGGTGGTTGGTCGACCGGGTGTGATGTTGACCTAGTGGTCGACCGAACATGGTGGTCGACGAAGGAGGGGCCGAAGTCGACCTCGACAAAAGGATTCAGGATGCCGAGCTATTGGGCATCGAGTGGCAGGGCGTCGACTTGGTGACGCGGATTTCAGGTAGCTGACTCTTGGGGGTCGGCTGACAACTATAATGGTCGACGAGGAGCTGGTCGACCAGGAGTGACGTCGACCTGGAGCTGGTCGACCAGGGGTAGTGGTCGACCTGGTGAGGTCGACTAGAGGTGGTCGTCAACTTGGGTGGTCGACGGGCACGCGCTGGAGCAGCTAGTCGACGTGGTTGCCCGATCGACCAGGTTACCTGGGTGACGAGGTTCTGCGAAGGCACGCGACGGTCGCCCAGGCGATGTTGGCGAGGACGACCGCGGTGGTGGTATCCCGAGGTCGACGTGGCTGATCAGAAGCAATCGTCAGCACGAAGTTGACTTGGTGCGTGCGCTGTGCAGGTGACGAGGCACTGCACGCCAATCATTTGCGAGCACCTGCGAAGCGGGTGCGCTGCTGTCCTGCGGGAGCAACGTTGGCATGCCGTCAACCTGCGACGTTGGCACGCCGTCGACTTGCAGCATTGGCAAGCCGCGACTCTGCACTGCTGGAGCGCGGTCGACCAAGTCTCGCTGGCCGCGGTCGATCGTGCTGTGGTGGCAAAGGACTCGCTTGCATGCTAGCTCTGATGTAGTCTTGTCTTGCAACCTTCATTGTACCATTGTTGTGAACTTTTGCTAGTGAAACTCTTGCCAACTTTCCCTGTGAACCAGCAAGTAGTGTAAGCACGAGTAAACAACTAAGTGGACAAACGCAGAGATCACACGAGCTTTCGTGCCTAGCCCGTAGTCTAGCTCCCGTTGTAGTAGTTATCTCCGCATGGTGCGGTGAGCGCGGACCGATATCGGCGACCCTTGTGACAGCAGGCGGGATTGCACCGAGCTACGGCTACTTCAAGTTTACGCCGGATAGGATCTTGGTCACTCCTCTGCTGTTCGATCGACCCGACATTCTCACCTGGAAGGAAGCCATCGAGCCCCAGCTGGAGATGGTCGAGTTGATCAACTTTGCTCGCGGTATTGTGGTGATGCCGGAGGACCCCGACTTACGTGCGGAGTTTTGCGCTGTGCAGCTGCTGACCTTCACGGTCATATCGCGGTGCTACCCGCTGGGCGTGCAAATCGCCCTGAAGTCGTGCAGGGAGCACCTCGACGCCGGCCACCAGGCGTGGCACTTCATCGAGTCGACTTACCAAGTCATTGATGACTTGTTCATCGCCCAGCTTGAAGGGCAGCTGACGCACTTGCGTATGGGCGACCAGGAGACGGCGACGGACTACTGCAACCGAGCTCGGCGAATTCTTGCCGCCATCAGGATGACCGGCGGGTAGTACTCGATGGCGTCGTAGTCACCCACATCATGTAGGGACTCCCGAGCAGCTACAACCTGCTGAAGCGGTTGTCAATGGCACTGAGCACGCGGGCGACACTCAACGAGGACACGTTGACCTCGTACATCCTGCAGGACGAGGCGATGCAGGAGGCCGAGCGGTCCCAGGAGCTCCTGGCGCAGGTGAACTACGTCGCCCCGCTGAAGAAGGTGGTCGACCGGGGCAGCGCGGGCAGTCTGGTGGCGGTGGTAGTAGTGGCTGGAAGCCGGCCAAGGAAGTCGACAAGAAGAAGTCGACCAAGGACAGCGGTCGAGGAGGAGGAAGTCGAGGTCGAGAGTTCTGGCTGTGCGGCGACCCCGACCACCTCTCCTTCGAATGCCCCGACCGCAGTGACTCAGATGACGACGACAAGAGAGGCCACGGGAGGTCTGGCAGTCGTCGTCCTCGTCGAGGAGGAAACCAGCCGCGCAAGGAGAAGCAGTCGACCAAGTCGTCGACCTCGGCGAAGGACGCCGACTCCTTTGCTGGCGGTAAAGGGCGACACGACAAGGAGGCGTCGTGCTCGCTGGTCGGCGTCGTGGAGCCGACCGTCTCACTGGCGCCGGAGGCCGGCGAGGACTTCCAGGCGGTGGCGGCAGCCGTGCAGGCGAACCCGGCGGTGGTCCTGCTCGACAGCGGCTGCTCGCACCACCTGATGGGGACAAAGGACGCCTTCGTCGACTTGGGGCCGAGCGGCGACGTGAAGCACGTGCGTGGCTTCAATGGGGCGCTGCAAGACGTCAAGGTCGGGGGCACGGTTGCGCTGCAAGGGGAGGCCGGGAAGCGGGTGCTCATCCCCGACGTGCTGTATGTCCCGGGCGTGCACGCGAACCTGCTGTCGGCCGGTCAGCTGAAGGAGAACGGCGTGAAGCTGCAGGACGACGATGATGGGATGCTGCTCGTCTCGGCGACGGGCGACGTGCTTGGTCGAGCAACGTATTCCGGCCGGGTCCTCTGCACCGACTTACGTCCCTGTTCGGCGACGAATGCGGACGAAGTGGTGGCTCTGCGGGCGATTTTCCCAGCGACGAATTCGACGCCGGACAGGATGCATGCGAGGCTTGCACACGTCGGCATGGACACCATCCTGCGCTCGGCGAAGCACGAGGTCGCCACTGGGCTGGACCTCAAGTTGGCGTCCGGCGCCGACTCACCACGTGTCGCGTGCATCGGCGGGAAGCTGGAGCAGCACTCCTTCTCCGACCAGGGCTCCGACGCCGAAGACGTGTCGGCTGTCGTGCACATCGACCTGTGCGGGCCATTCCGGGTGGCCGCCAAGGATGGCAGCCTGTACTTCTTGCTGCTGAAGGACCGCAAGACCCGCTACGTGTGGGTGAGGCCAGTCGCCAAGAAGTCGGACGTGCTGCTGACGTTCTAGAAGTGGCTGGCACTGGTGGAGCGGCAGGTGAAGAATTCCGTGTTGCAGTTGCGCTCTGAGCGAGGTGGAGAGTTCCTCGGCAAGGAGTTCACCGCCTTCGTGGACGGCAAGGACATTGTCCACGACCTGACCTGCCCCTACACTACGCAGCAGAACGTCACGGCGGAGCGGGAGATGAGGACGGTGGTGGAGTCGGTGCGGAAGATGCTGGTGCAGAT